TTTTCGGTTTATATGATTGTTTGCCGTGAGGGATTTTTTGGTAACTAGTTTCTTTTTCTGTTATATGATTGTTTGCCAAGAGATTTCCAAATTGCAGGTTGTTGCGAGAGATTTTTGGACAATTGAGTTCAATGAATCGATTGGGTTCTGTCGAACTTCAATCTTAAAAATGGAAAGAAATGAATCGAGCTGGGTTCTGTCGAACTTCAATCTTGAAAATGGAAAGAAATGAATCGAGCTGGGTTCTGTCGAACTTCAATCTTGAAAATGGAAAGAACACCTTGTCGAACTTCAATCTTGAAAATGGAAAAAACATCAGAAAATCTTGAAAATGGAAAAAACACCGGAAAGAATAGAAACAGTAACCGATGGCCAAATGAGCAATTGTTAGTGGTGATGTGGGACCCATTGGATGGATTTGGTGCGTTTTTGCCATGTAGCATGTGACATGGCAAAAGTTTTATGGCATGTCATCACTTTTTTAAGTTTTGCTCTCCATATCATCAAAAAAAATATAAAAAATGCCACCTAAGCAGGGTTAATGGCTCAAATTAACAGAAGGACTAACGGAGTGCATTTCGTATAGTTGAGGGATCAAAAAAGTGCAAAAAATTGTTGAGGGACCAAAAATGTTCATTTCTTAAAGTTAAGGGACCAAATTAAGCATTTAACCAACAAAATATAAAAGTTTTTATGACCTTATTAGCTTTAACCTCGCCCATTTTCGTTTGTGACCGAAGAAAAAAAACAAAATTGTCCAATCTGTTGGGTGCAGACTCTGAGCCCAGCCCACTTGTAATAACGCCGTCTTGATTCGGCTTCTTGTAACATTTGCCTCCTGAAAGTTCCCGCGAATTTCCAACCTTACAAGACTACCTAACCTCGCCGCCGATCTTTCCTTCCTCCGCTGTCACAACTCCATGTCACTGCGGCCAAACAATCCCTTTCCTTTCCTCTCAATTCTCTCCATTCCCAAGCAAAAGCGCCATTCTCTCCTTTATATCATCACCTCCACAAACTTGATGTTAATCCCACAACCTTCCACGTTCGTTTTTCTATCGTTTCAGTTCAATTTCGTCTTCGATTCGTCCGGAAATGGAGTCTCAGAAACCTGAAGCCTCGACCCAATTGATTCCGTTGAAGTACTCGAACAGGGTAACGTTGAAAACCATATTTGAATGCGGCAAACACGGTCTGGGATTGGTTGGTCAGAGAGTGGTGATTGGAGGATGGGTGAGAAATTCTAAGGAGGAGAGGAAAGAGCCTGCGGCATCTCCATCGTCGCCTGATGACAAGGATGCAGAGAGTGGTCGTAAAGACGTGAGCTGTGGGGAGATTTTGCAATCTCGAATTCCGTTTTTCAGGACTATCATCAAGGTTCTCGCCGGTTCCGCCAGACAATCTGTTGTACGTGAAAAACTGGAGTCCCTGATTCCTATGCCACCTCCTTCTTCGGTTTTGTTTTTGCAAGTTGGTGATGGTTCTTGCACTGAAAGCCTTCAGGTATGGCCAAATCTTCAATGGGTTTATCCCATTTTCATAGTTTATAAACTGTTTGTTAAAATGCCTGAGAGAAAAATAGATCGATTTTAAT